CGAAATGATTTCGGCAGGAAGGTGATTCCGGCCGGGAAGTTGTTTCGGCACCACTTCAAAAGTCACCTAAAAATATTTATTTATTGAAATATTGAAAACCATGTTAATGTTGCTACAATACCCAAATATGGTATATATATTAAAAAAATATTATTAAAAAAATATTTAAAATATGTTGGTTTAACCTTTATTTTCTACATGATAGATACGTTAATTTATGATTATTAGGTTTTTCTTAAATTATGATTATTAGGTTTTTCATTTTTACCTTTTTGAAAATAAATGAGTTTTTCTCGTAAATTTTTACCAAAAATTGTTATTAATTTTATTCAAAAATATGAACTGAATAAAATGTAAGCAGCAATTATATATAACTCATATATATATATATATATATATATATATATATATATATATATATATATATATATATATATATATATATATATATATATATAAATATATATATATATATATATATATATATATATATATATATATATATATATATATATATATATATATATATATATATATATATATATATATGAGTTATATATAATTGCTGCTTACATTTTATTCAGTTCATATTTTTGAATAAAATTAATAACAATTTTTGGTAAAAATTTACGAGAAAAACTCATTTATTTTTAAAAAGGTAAAAATGAAAAACCTAATAATCATAATTTAAGAAATATATATATATATATATATATATATATATATATATATATATATATATATATATATATATATATATATATATATATATATATATATATATATATATATATATATATATTTGTAACACTCGAATTTAGGTAAAAAAGTAATCCAATTTGAGTTTGCTATATTTTTAACAAATATGCAACTTGTTGCATATTATGTACAACAAGTGCACATTTACTTAAAAAAATTAATAATGAAAAGAAACATGAAAGACTTTTAATAAAAAAAAATCGTTTCTTTATAAATTTCTTATCTGCATAACTGTTTTTTTGAAATGGGGATTATTAACAAACTTTCGCAAAACTTTACGTTATTACTTGTCATTTGCTTTTCTATAACAATTGCAATAGAGCGCTGGATTGAGGCCCAAAATGAATCTCTGCTCATTTTTTGTTTGTCTTCTTAGACTATGCTGTCTTTAGAAATACTTTATCTTGATTTGAAGCGTTCTAACAATACAAAAAGCCTTCTGCAAAAGAGCAAATTTTTATAAATAAACTCATGTAAGTAAATTCATGTAAAATGGAGCAGATTTTATTTTTTTATTTTAACTTATTATTTTTACAAATTATTATGGATACATTCTAAAGTGTTTGCTAAGTTAAAAAAAAATGACCAGTATCTAGATTAAGTTGTTGAAAAATTGAAATATGTATTTTGAAATAATTACAATTAACGCACAAAAGCATTCAAGTAGATACCCAGTGGGCACCGGACCTAAAAAATTTGGACGTCTTTTGAACTTTCATAAGACGTCCAAAACATTCAAAAGACGTTCAAAAGACGTCTAAAACGTGTATAAATCTTTAAAAGACGTCTTTTTTAAGTCCGTGCCCACTGGGTGGCTAGGAAAAGAAATAGAAAAATTTAGTTTTAAACTTTTTTTTAAAACTAGTTCAAAAAAATATTTTTATGGCAACATTTTGATATCGGCTTATTTATTTGTTTAATAACTTTTGACGTTGTTTTTTGGTACATTTTGGTTTAGTAAATGATTGTATGATTATTCTCTAGGTTTAAACGGCTGCGTCTTAATGATAATTGAACCTGTCATTTCAAAAATGACACAAGTCCATTTATTAAAACTTTTTAAATTCAACAAAAAAATGATTTTTATTAAAATAAAGTCTACGCTTTTAAGGAAATTAAACATAGGAGTAGATAAATGAAGAGCGCATATAACTTATGTAAGTTTTATTTTATATAAAAAAAATTTAAATTATACAGAAATTTTAAATTTAAATTTATAAACTAACGATTAAAAATTTTGGGTTTGTGTTTTTTTCGAAATGTCAGGTTTAATTTTCAACGTAGTTACAGGACTTCCTAACGCTTTTGTTTAATTTCCCACATAAATTTAGGAAAATCTGTATGCGTGTTGAAATGAGATTTTCTCCTTTTTTAGGAGCGATTTTATTGAGAAGGTGTAGGGGAGAAGGTGCAGTGGTGTAATAGCCTTCTTTGGGTTTTAGTGTGATATGTTTTATTTAAATCATGGCTACATTGAATACCAAGATTAACATAGAAAGTCTAGCTTACATAGATTTCATCTTATTACGTCTTCTTAGGTCTTAAAGGTCATTAAGTCTTTAATGTACTAAGTTTTTCGTATCTTGAGTCCAGCAACTTTCTCTAACAATCAATACAGACTTCAATTTTTATTTTTTTAACTTTTGTTAATTGTGTTAAAATTATATATTGCCATATATAAAAATAATAAGCTTTCACAAATTTCTGATAAACAATATAACAAATATAAAACAAGGTATATCAAAGAAGATCAAAGGATCTTATTGTCAGAACCTTAAATAAGTTCAAACAAGTATTTAACAAAGTTAAAAACAATAATATTAAATCTTTACAAATTTCTTGAATAAACTTTTTATAAATATAAATAAAAATTGGCAAAGTTATTAATCCATATTATTAATAATAACATAACACGACTTCTAATAAAAAATTAAAGCTTTTAATTTAATTTTAAAAAGGCGAAAAGTAATGGGTAGTTCATAATCAAAATTTGGCAAATTTTACTCCAAAGGTGCCTTATAGGCAATAAATGATTAAAATTCGTTTGACAAAAAGGTTTGTTTAAAAAATTACTATTTCCATTCCATTTCAAATTCCATATTTCTATTCAAATCCATTTGTTCTACTGCAGACATTTTAACCGTGATAACAAAGAGATTAAGCAAATGCTATTTTTTTTGTCAATAAGGTCTGGCATGTTGGTCTTCTCCATAAACTTACATTATATGGTGTAATTAAACAAGATTTTAAAAATTATTGAATCATTTCTTCGTAACCACAGCATTAAAGTCGTTGGTTAGCAACGCTTTCTAACATTTTCATTAACTTCTGGAGTCATTCATATGTTATTTTTAAATGAATTTATAATCTATCTGATAATCTTACTTTAAATTTATTAATAAATTGGCTAATGACGTCAACTAAACACAAACATCACAACAAAAAGTTTTAAGACTACATTTAAGATTTGCTGCTTGTTCGAAGCTATCAAATAGTGGTTTGATAGCTTTGAACAAGAATTAAATCTTAAATGTAGGGGAAAGACGCCTATGATGGCATAACGTCTACGATGGCATACCGGTCATATTTCCATAAAAATTGGTTTTGGTGAAAAAGTGATTAAATCTACATGACTATACTGACTTTACATTAGTTTTAGTCCCTTGTGCACAAATATTTTTTTTATAATCAACAATAATCGATTTTGGGATGTGTTGTTGTAGTTTTATTCCATTCATATATTTAAGATTGTGAACTTTATTATTAACTGTGCAGAAAGGGAATTTTTATGCATTTTAAATCCAAGTATTGTGCATTAAGTGGAATACTTACTTTAATTTTATTTTTTGAACAATGCAAACACAACTTGTTTTAATAAAAATGTTGAATTCTTCCAATGATGGCATTATATGCCGTCATTGGAAGAAGTATTACTGACGAGTTTGGTGAGTTGCAATATGGACGCGTTGGGAAAATCTTTTATTTTTTATAAGAAAAACTTATTTTTAAGTAAAGTGAAAAGAAAGTGATGCTCCAAAAGTTTTTTTTTGGTCCAAAAAATACATAAAACGTAATATATCCTATGCGCACGCACAAACTTTAAAATGCTGCTGTGTAGCATAAAATAGTAAATAACGATAGCTCCGAGTAATTTCTGGCTTTCCTAGGGGAAGAATCTAAGGTTAAATGAAATTATCAAGTTACCCGTGATCCTTACCAGCCCCATCCTCCCCTATGCTGTCATAGGAGCAGTGGTTGCCTATAATGGCATACTTGTGCTTGTTTTTAAAATAGGAATAACTTTAAAAAAAAAACTGATAAAAAATCCGAGGTTTATTATTGTTCTACATGTAACAAGAAATGTATCCATATCAAAACTATTATTATTGGTCTTCATGATTCTAAATAATGAAGCTTCAAAGTTAAGTATGCCATCATAGGCGCCTTTACCCTAGTCTCTCTTCTCTGTCACGAAAGAACAATGAATTTTACTGTCTCTGATAAATTTTTTTCCCCCAAAAAAAAAACTAAATAAGGGTTGTCCATAATTTACGTAACGCTCTAGGGAACGGGTCACTGGTTTTGTGACAACCCGTACGGGGCTTGTTACTAAACAGTTGCAATGTTGTGACCAGGAGGTAGGGCGGAGGGGTTTAGAGTCAAAAATGGTCAAAAATTGCGTGACGTAATTTGTTGGCAACCCTAATGTCAACTGCTGATATATATCGCATTTTTATATTATTTTTATGATGTTTTGCAATAACCCTACTGAGTCCCCCATTTTGCACTTTCTTAGCTTATCTTTAACCACTGATCCTACTTAAAAATCATATATCCAATTTTAAAGTTTGCATCTTTTAATTTTGCCTATTTTTATTGCGTTTATTATTGTTTTAATATATGGGTTTTTTTGGCTAATGATGTTTATTCTTTAGACAAGGTCCAAAAATGTAGCTGGACCTGCTCTAGCTACCATGCATTAGCATGCCAAGTTTAGATCTCTCTTTTTTCTATAAATAGTACCATGGTTGCTGCTCAAGCAAGCTTCTACCACCTATTCCATCAATTAAAACAGTAAACCAGTATTACTATTTGCTTTTTAGCAAACCCGTTTCTAGAAAAACAATTTGTTTTAACCTTTGATATATTAAATACGCAATTAAATATATCAATCATAATATTAAATTTATAACAGTTTTATTAGACAAAAACTATTTTAACTAACTATTTTTAAATCATAGATTCAAGTCCAGAATTACTGATAATGACATCAATATGAAGTTCATTAAAATAGTAAGTAGATAAATATTCTTTTCATTTTTTTTTTATTATTCTTTTCTTTAATTTTCTCAAATAAAATACATTATCGATAAAAATCACAATTTAAATAAACAAAAGTTTTAGAAAAATGAACTTTTTAATTATTCCACAAGATTAGTTGTAACAAGTTTCACAACATCTAATAAAGTAATTACTACCTATTGTACATATAACCTTTTAACAGACATAGAAAAACCAATATTATTTGGTGTGAAAATTAACTCCCAATAAGCAGCAGCATATCCAGTTATTTTACCATGTAAAGATTTTTATATGATCGACGAAAACTTCTGACCAATATCTGAGGGTTTTATATTTTTATTGTAAAACAAATGACAGGTTAGTTCAAAATCTGTTTTAAAACAATACATATTTTGAATGGTACTTAGTCACAATCCTAATATTAATTAAGCATATAAACTTTTGATAGACTTGTAACAACTTTCTTAACAAAAGCACTTCATACGATTTGCTAACATACCTACATTTCCTGATACTTTAAAAAGAAATTGTACTTGGTTTCTCTTGCAATTTAAATGATGTACTAAGAAATGAAGTACGAAAAAAAATTAACAGAAGAACTGACTTTTCAATTTTCTTTATTTAGTTGACGTTGTATTAAAAAATCCGTCATTTGAAAATAAATTTACACAATAGAGATAATGACAAATGATGACAGACGGCCCCAGCGTCATAAAATAAATTGGAAAATTATTAGTGATTATGCTTAACTTACAGTATTCAACTGGTTATTGTTTCAGTTTTGTATAATACGTCAACATCAATACGTACGTAGAGACAGTTAACAGTAAAAGTTGATGATAGCATAATAACTTACCATTAAAAGAGTTAAAGACTACAATGAGTCATCAAATTTTATATTATATTTTATGAAATACATTATAGTCCAGTCTAAAAGAGCGAAAGATCGAACTAAGCATTTTACTGCAATATCTACATTGTGGAGTAAATTTATTCAAACCAAAAAAAGGCCATGGATTTGATAGTTTAAGCAGTTATGTAATAACTAAATAAATCTGGATACTACTGTGCTTTTCAAAATTATTAAAATAAAATATGTATAAAAAGGTGTATCATTTTTTTAGATATAAACAACATCCTATATAATAAACAGTTTGGATTTAAAAAGAGTCACTCTACTGATCAAGCAGTTTTTCATCTTTTTAATGATATTTTTAACTCATTTGATGAAAATAAATATACATTAGTGTTTTTAATGTTCTCAGCAGGTCTTTTAAGACAGTCAGTCATTATATTTTAATAACCAAACAATAAAACTACGGTACTAAATATCCAAATTTCATTTGGTTTAATAGCTACTTGTTAAACAGACAGATAAAATATCTAAGTAAATTAACAACACGAACTTGTGGGGTTTCACAAGGGGTTTATACTAGGATCGCTTACCCGGTGGGAAATGAGCTAGCGACTAGCTAGCTTTATAGCGATTTTCAAGCGATTTTTTTTTCTTATTTTATTCTTTACTAATGTCTCTAACATCTTTAAAAATTCAATTTTTAGTGTTGATTCTATTATAATTATGAGAATAATTGAACTTTAAACATTGCGTATTTGTAGCAATGTGTCGCTAGCTACATATTGTAGCTTTGTAGCTACCTACAAAATATCTACAAACCTATAGCTGGTTGATAGCTACATACCAAAATTTTTTTGATCGCGATTTTATTACAATATGATGGTAGCTACAATAGCCTGTGAGTCTTCAGCTTATTAAGCTAGCTGTCCTAGTAGCCAAATCGCTGTCTTTATCTTTACAAATATCGATAGCTTTTCGCTAACTTAAAAAAGCTAGCGATCCTCGTGACCAAATCGCTGTCTTTATTGTAACGATTATAGCTAGCCGATTTCCCAGCGAGAATATTCCTATTTTATATTAATGATTTAACTAAATCATGTTAGTTCCCAGTGGGCACCCGACGTCAATCCGACGTCGGATTTACGTTTGATTTTCATCAGCGATGTCAAAAGACCTATTCCGACGTTGTTCCGATGTCAGTAAAATGACGTCGGGCGATGTCTTTATCTCAACATCCCCTGACGTCGTTTCGATGTATTTTGACGTTGTTCCGACATCTTATAAAAGCGTCCAAAAAACGTCGCAGTACTGACATCGATCCAACGTCGATAAAAAGACGTCGGGCAACGTCATAATATAAACGTACTCCGATGTCTTTTGACGTCTTCCGACGTCAATCCAACGTCCTTAAAACGACGTCGGAACAACGTCGTAAGACATCGCTGATGAAAATTTAATCCAAACCCAACAATATGTGTGCAATTGCGCTCTTCAATAATTATGTGAACTAAGCGTGTTTTTTTATTAATGGAAAAAAGTTTGAATAAAGGTTGATAAAACATCAAGAGGTTTTGTATGATGCACTAGCATAGTTTTTTAACTATTAACATTTTCGAGTATTCATTTTTTATAATATATAACTATTCGTTTTAATATTTATATAATATTTAAACAAAATTATTTCTTATCAAAGTAATAATTCCCAAATAGCTACAAGTATAAATTACTAAATAAACCCATCCATTAATATGTCCTTGTGGTGTAGTGGTAAGCGCACAGGATTTAGAAACTTATATACCGAGGTTCGATTCCTGCTTAAGGCAGCGTTTTTTAGTTTTCAAAAAACACGTTGGATTTACATCGGAATGCCGACGTCGCGCGATGTCAGTTTATCCGACGTCAAATAACATTTCCATTTCCAACGTAAACCCAACGTCGATCCGACGTCGAGATCCGACGTCGCTCGACGTTCGTTCGACGTCGAAATGCCCACTGGGTTATTACACACAATCTTGTTTGCTGATGATACAAATCGATTCTATGCTCATAATGATATAAAAATACTGTTTAAATCAGTAAATTTAAAACAACAAAGTCTTGCTGAATGGTTTAGAAAAAATAAATTGTAACTAACTTTAACCAAAACAAAGTATACTTTTTTTCATCACTATCACAAACGAGACAAAATTTCTTCTAAAACATAAAAAAATTTGTATTAAGGATTGTGATATAAAAAGAGAAGCCTGGCTAAAATTTCTTTGTATCCTCCTTAACAACAATGTAATATGGAGAGATCATACAAAGTATCTGGAAGGTAAAATCTCAATGAGCATTGGCATGTTTTTCATGTTTTTGTAAATCCTCTTTCTTTAAAATTCTTATGTTTCTCCTTTATTGATTTTCATCTTAATTATGCTAACATTGCTTAGTGCAGAACAAATAAAAGTAAATTAAAAAAACTCTTTAATATGCAATCAGAATTCAATCCAAAAGCCGTTTCACTTCTTTCCAACCACTAGTTATCAAGTTAAATATACTAAATATTTATTAAATAATTATTTATCATCTAATTTTTATTTTCAAAATTAATAAAAATGTTATTCTATACAACATGTTATATTTAAATTTTTTAATCCGTTACTTAAAACTATTCAGAACCAAATATTCAAATAACGCCTTTATACCGCTTAAAGTTATTTTGCGATAACTGAGTTTTTAATTTCAATTAGAGGACCGAATGAATAAAATACTAACAAATGAACTTATAAGCTGAACAATTTAAGGCAAAATTAAACAAAAATTACTAATAAATACAAGGCTATTTCTAAATTAGTGTGAAATAATTTTTTTGACTATTTAATAATATATGAAAAGTATACCCAGCCGGCACAATGACGTTGAAATAACGTTGAAACAACGTCGCAAACCGACCATATGCCACGTTGAAACAACGTTGAAATTTGGTTGAATTGGAAAGAAAATCCGACGTCGAAAACTACGACGTTGAAACAACGTCGATGATTACGTCGTTTCAACGTTGATCTAACGTCTTATCGACTACATATCAACCATATTTCAACTTTGAATAGGTGATATATTTGATTGACGTCTTATCAACGTAGTTGATAAGACGTTAAAACAACGTTGAATCAACGTTGATTTTTGTTTTTTTATTTTGGTTAAATCCAATTAACTAAAAAATTTTCTCAACTTTAATTGCAATAAAATAACACAATAAAAAAGCAATAATTTGCGCAGAGGATATTATATTTCACGTAAATTAATCAGATACAACTAAATTGCTTCAACGGACTTTATATACAATGCAAATAAAATAAAATGTTTGAAAAAAAAAAGTTTTATTTATCAGTAATATATTTATCAATTTATCAATAATAACTATTATTAATAGTTCCAGAACAACTAGGAAAAAGTATGAATGTTATACATCGGGTTTATCGCCTTTTACGCGCCGACCACCACCATTTGATCTGTCGAGTGCGTATTTTAATAAAGTCATTATTCCTTTTCTTATTTCGGCAACTGTAGCAGTCATTTTAATTGACAAAACTCTCTCTATAAAAAAGGTACTGCCTGAGTAACTTTCATCAAATACATCAAAAAGTTAAAAATAAAATAGCATTAAAAAAACGAACTGTGATTTTTTAAAAATATATAATTTTACACTTAACTTACAAGTAAATACCTAACGTTTGTTCCTTTAAACTTCTCTTTACCTTTACCGCCAGCCATATTAAATTTTGATTATAAACCATTGGTCAACAACCTGCATTATACATTGTTATTATTATTATAGTTACATTAAAAATTGATAAACATGTCTTAGACAAAATACAAATTATTCTCAATGAAAAATTGCACAAACCGCAAAGGTTTCTTGCCAAACCGTAATGCAAGTAAGAAAAAGAATTGATACAGGGGAAGAGTTGTGTCCAAGGAGACCACCTTCTAAACGCAAGAAAACACCAAGAGCGGACAGTATAATCAGAAACATCTGCCTGGAAAACAGAAAAAAAGCCACTAAGCTTATCCATGAAGTTGTAATTGTTGTGTCAGACCGGACCATTTGTAGAAGGCTAAAAGAAGAGGGATTGATGTCCAGCCAAAAAAGTCAAAAATTGACAAAAAAAATTAAAAATATTAAAAATAATGTCAAAAATCTTATATTTATGCAAGATGGTTCAACTTGCCAAACAATAAAAACTTTTATGGCTTAGTTGATGTATTGCTATAGCCAGAAAAACCGCATGATCTTAACCCCATAGAAAACATTTAGGAAATAGTAAAGCAAGAGATTGGAAAAAAAATCTTACTAATAAGCAAGATCTTATGGAGGAGATTATCAAGATCTGGCATAATAATCCAATGTTGACAGAAACTATAAAAAATAAATTGCAAGCATGCCACAATGCAATGAAGTAGTTATTGCAAATAAAAGTGTTTTTGCAAAATATTTATACTTTATATATATTTTATATAATTTATCATAATAACCAATGAATATTCAAAATGTTCAACTTTATTTATTTGTTTTTATCAAGTACAACTTTATAAATAAAAGAAAAAACTTTAAATTGAACCATTATTGTAGATATATATATATATATATATATATATATATATATATATATATATATATATATATATATATATATATATATATATATATATATATATATATATATATATATATATATATATATATATATACATATATATATATATATATATATATATATATATATATATATATATATATATATATATATATATATATATATATATATATATATATATATATATATATATCTACAATAATGACCAGAAAAAGTTTACAAGAAAAACCAGACCAGAAAAAGTTTACAAACTTAAATTATTTTTTTTTTTAAATGATAGACTGCCTGCCCAAACTAAACCCTCAGTCTATGTAGCAGCACTCCCTTGCGAGTCAGGCTATTTGTCAGTTGTTGTAGCAGCACTCTGTTGCGCGTCAGGCTATTTGTCAGTTGATGTAGCAGCACTCCCTTGCAAGTCAGGCTATTTGTCAGTCGATGTAGCAGCACTCCGTTGCGAGTCAGGCTATTTGTCAGTCGATGTAGCAGCACTCCCTTGCGAGTCAGGCTATTTGTCAGTTGTTGTAGCAGCACTCCGTTGCGAGTCAGGCTAATTGTCAGTCGATGTAGCAGCACTCCCTTGCAAGTCAGGCTATTTGTCAGTCGATGTAGCAGCACTCCGTTGCGAGTCAGGCTATTTGTCAGTCGATGTAGCAGCACTCCCTTGCGAGTAAGGCTATTTGTCAGTCGATGTAGCAGCACTCTGTTGCGAGTCAGGCTATAAGATAGTCGATGTAGAAATACTCCCTTGTAGCAGCAGGCTATAAGATAGTTGATGTAGCAACATTTACGCATGTTTTAAAAATGTTTTTTAATATAACAAAAACAAAAACACCACTAATTAAAAAAACTTTCTAGTCGTTATTATTGCGGTTTTTTAAAATTTTTTCAAAAATTTTAAAAAACTTCCCCATTACTTTAATTGCTTTGACATTTCGACGACAATCAAATACAGCTTAAGAGACAAGGAAATTAAAATTGTAGTCGATAGTGACTTTTTTTACATTAAAAGACTCACTATAAGGATTTACTTTCGACTACACTATAAGGATTTATATATATATAAATATATATATATAAATATATATATATATATATATATATATATATATATAAATATATATATATAAATATATATATATATATATATATATATATATTCATAAAAGCATATGTATGTTTATATAAATACATATATATGTATGTTTATTTATATACATATATATGTATGTATATATAGAGTAAAAAAAAAGGTTAAGTATGCGTTACAAATCAACCTTTGTACTTTAAGGTTGTTCTTTAGCTCAAGGAAATACAAAAGTAAGAGAAAACAGTTACAAAAAAAATTATAATCAGACATAAAAAAAAAAGATTTATATTATGTCTGATTAGAATTCGTCAAACTTTTAAAAATATACGCTTCACATATTTTTAACACAAGTTTAAAACAAACTATAATAAAAAGATTCAAAAGATTTATTATATAAAACTACTTTTAACAAACCTTTGCATCACATTTTTTTGTATTTGTCTTAATGGTTTTACCTCCAATTTTAGAAAGTTTGTTAACCTAAAGGTTTAAGAAAATAATTACACCACATTATTTTTATAGTACATTTATAAAAAGTAGATTAACTTAGGCTAAGTTATTAATAAATACTTTTTTAAAAAACAATTAAAAAAACTGCAAAAAGTCATGGTTTGAAACAACCCATCACTTCTGACCTCACCCAAGAATTATTTAAACTGTTATCATAATCATTAAATTACTGCTGCAAGTTCATCCATAGAATTTTCAGAACTATTTGTCATGATATTACTTTAATTACTAGAAAGAGTTTTTACTAACATCTCTTTCTAACAATAAAGATATATCAGAAAGACAAAAGAACCAAACATTAATTAATTTCTAAAAGGGTTGAAACACAAGAACAAAACATTTATAAAATAAAACATTCATAAACTAAATAAAATGTATTAATTTAGAAACCAATAAAATGTGTAAATCACAGAAGCATAGAAAAAAATGTTCAGAATCTTTTCTTCCTAAATCAACTTACAGACAGACAATTAATACCTTGAGCTACAGTATGTGGAGTATGCATAAAAATTGTTTTCTGTTTCTTTTTTTGCGTTACAGGAGTAAGTACTTGCTTACTATTCTGTTGGTTATTATGTTTTTTCTTGCATAAGCATGGTAGTGGCTCCTATAAAAATTATTTTCAAAATAAAACTAATAATACTTGAATTAAGTATCTTTTAAAATATTTACCGTTTTCTGAATCTGATTCTATCTGAGTATCACTAGTAGTGGCAAAATTAAATTTATCACAAAACTCATGATTTTAAATACATTATATAATAAAGAATATATAATAAAGAATATATCTAAACACTGAAAACAACATAAACAGAATGAAAGCATGTCAAAAAAACAAGGAAAAAAAGTAATGACTTATTGTTTATATAAAAAAAAATTACATAATCTCCATGACATTTAATTTTGAGCAGCGTAAATCTGTATTAGTTAGATGCGGTTTATGCATTTCATTGAAACAATTTATTACATTTAATGATGATAGCCAGCACATAAAAATTATCGATCGATTTTTCTCACTTTATTTCTCTGTATTTTCTATCCAAACAGCTCGAATGAACATTTTGCTTGCTTGTCCAACTATACTTTTTTAACTGGAAAAGAATAGTAGAAAATATAATAGACAAAATACTCATATATTAAAAATTTGTTCATGTAAAATAGCTAACAGAAAAATACAACCTTAAACTGTACGTTATGATACATTATACAATTGTTAAAAATTGCTAAATTTTTATGTTGATCCTTCTACCAACCTACTAAAGGAGCAAGCACAAATTATATATACATATATACATATATATACATATTTATATTATAAGCATATATACATATATATACATATTTATATTATATATATATGTATATATATATATAATATATATATATATATATATATACACACACATATATATATATATATGTGTGTGTGTATATATATATATATATATATATATATATATATATATATATATATATATATATATATATATATATATATATATATATATATATATATGTATGTATGTATGTATATATATATATATATATATATATATATATATATATATATATATATATATATATATATATATATATATATATATATATATATATATATATATATATATATATATATATATATATATATATGTATATATATATATAAGAAAAACATATATAATATATATTTTATATTTATATAATATATCAAGTAATCTCTACTTGTAATCCACACTCATGAAATAATACGGTCATAAAGAAATATCTATTTAATATTTACCTTACTAAATGCATCACAAGTTAAGCCATGTATTATTGTTAAATTGTCAAATTCAAAACCTTATAAAAAGGCAACAGATGGCCTAATTTATTAGCATGTGTGACTTTACTTGTTTTTATTGGGCTAATAAGTAACTTTTTAAGTCTTTACTTGTTATTTGTTAAGCTAATAAAAAATATTTTAAGTCACGCATGCGTGTTTTAGTTCTCATATTGCAATTACGAACGGTCGAACTCGTAATATAGACGTTGAAATAACGTGGAATCAACGTCGATTTTATTTGATAGTTTTAAACAAATTTTTCAACGTTGATACAACGTTGATTTTTGGTTATACGACGTCGCGACTAAAAATCAACTGTAAATCAACGTCGAAATAACGTCGTGTGCCCACTGGGTATCGATGTATTTTCTGTTTTATCCCAATAAGCATGCATCGTCTGGGAGACGTACTTTGAACGTCTTACGGAGGTCTGAACGTCCGTGAAATGTCCGACGGACGTTGCTTGGACGACGGATGCCCACTGGGATAATGAAAGGTTCAAGTTAATTGTTACTTTTTTTTTACAATTTGTCTTTGAATTTTTTTTCTTTTTATCTTCTTGTTCTTCTAATTGTTTTAATTTGAAGGTTAAGGATGAGCATTTGAGCTTTAGTTGAAAATTAAAATTTAAAACAATAAAAAAAATTGTTTCTCTTTAAATTCATTAGAATATAAAAAATTCAAAATTTCTTAAAACTTATAAAAAGAAAAGTTTCTTAATAATAACGTATTATTTTATATTTACAACCAGTAAATATATTACTAAACATCCTTTGTATTCTGTTTTCAGGTATACGGCAAGACTTTTTTTTGGGTACTGCACCTATTGTTTATGACGTGTACTAATTCAATTGGAAATGATAGTATCACTGATAATGTAGTTATGACATGTCTATCAATTTATAATGATTCATTAAAAAGTAAGCTTTTTTAATTGCAATTAAATTGTATATTTTTGTTTTATTAACCATCACATCATCAAGCTTTTATATATAATACTTTACGTAGTATGAAATTGATTCTATTTTTCTGATGCAAAAATGCAGCGTGTTTAACCTGAGAATAAAACTAGTCATCAAATAATTGATGTTTTTAATCTCAAATAAAAAATACTTTAATTAAGATGATGTTGTTAAGCTATTTTGTTTTAACCGCCGTGCTCTTTAAAATGTGCAAAAAATTTTAAAAAAAGAGTAAAATATTTTTATTAAAATTACTTGGATTGCGTTTGAAGTAATTTTAATCAAAATTTTTCACTCTCTTTTTAAAATTTTTTGTACAATTATCTAGCAATATTCCTAACAATAAAGACAGCAAATTAGCCACGAGGATTGGTAGCTAAAACTAATATGCTCAAAAAATGCTATAAATCTAGCTATATGCTAGGTAGTTGCTAGCTCATTTACCACCAGGCATCTAATGATAATCCAAAAATATTTTTTACAGTAGGAATAGCTGAATATTTTTTCATAGTCTCAACTATATTATAAGTAATAATAATAATAATAATAATTGAAGCTGTGCTCTTGAGAGTTTCAAGAAAGAATCTAACAACTGTAGATGTTAGATTTTAACAAGTGTTTTTTGCTAAACTTTTTAAGTTTATTTTTAAAACCAATTACTGAATTAGCGTTAACAACTTCACTGTCCAAACGATTCCAATTTTCAACTATACGGTTCGTGAAGAAATGATGCCTCGGCAAAAAGTTTTGAACATACTGCCTTCGCAACCTTTGATTGTGTCCTCTAGTTAGCTTACCCAATACTTCTGGTTCACGATGCCAATTAATAGTATCAACTTTGTTCATGAATTTGTACATTTGGATAAGATCACCTTTTTCCCTTCTACTTGATAGATTTTGTAGGTCCATTTTCTCTAATCTTTGCTCGTAACTGTCTTTCTTTTTTTTGTAGCCAAATTTTGTAGCTTTTTGCTGAATTTTTTCTATTAAGTTTATATCTTTAATAAAATATGGGTTCCACACTTGAAAAGCATATTCTAAGTGTGGCCGAACGAGTGACTTATATAACAGTTTTGTTGATGTTTCATCTGGATAGAGGATTGCGTGCTTTAACATACCCAATTTTTGATTCGCCTTACTTACTATTTTTTCAATGTAGTCTTCCCATTTTAAATTGTCTGAAATATAAACACCAAGGTCTCTTTCCAATGACGTTACTATTAGTCCATGTTGAATAATCTCTGTTCCTGTAGCATTATATTTTAAATTATACTTTATTTTCGGATTATCACGACTAAAATGCATGATTTTACATTTATCTTTATTAAAACTGATAAGCCATCTTTTAGTCCAGTTAAATGAGATGTCAAGAACAAACTGTAGAGAGTTATTTTATTTTTTTCTAGAACTGCTATTATTTTTAAATCGTCTGCATATAGTTTTGCTTTATTATTCAACTTTTTTGTTAAATCATTTATATAAATTATAAAAAGTAAGGGTCCTAAGACCGATCCTTGTGGTACCCCACTACGAACTGTTTCCCATTCTGATTCAAACAGTCCCAAAACAACTCTCTGTTTTTGATTTGCTAAAAAAGCTTTACACCATTGCAACAATTCTCCGACAATACCAAATGACTTAAGTTTCAAGAGCAGCCTGGAATGCGGAACTGAATCAAATGCCTTAGAAAAATCTAAAAAGACAACATCAACACATTTTCCACAATTTATTGCTTCTGTTATTATGTCTAATGTCTCGAGAAGGTTTGTTACACAGTTTTTTGATTTAATGAATCCGTGTTGTTCTGGTATTAATAACTTATTTTTATTTAAATGGTTCATTATTGTATCCTTAACAATACTTTCCATTACTTTACAAACAAAAGAGGTCAATGAAATTGGACGGTAGTTACCTGCATTCAACCTATCCCCATTTTAAAAAATTGGAGTGATATTCGCTTTTAACCAGCTTGTAGGCAATGTTCCAGTTAGAAATGATTGGTTAAATATCATACAGAGTGGTCTAGCTAAACTGTCAGCACACTTACTTAAAAACATTGGATGAATTCTATCGATACCTGGGGACTTGTGCACATTTAGATTCAATAATTGTTTTTTAATATCTTTCTCATTAAACAATGGAGTCGGGCATTCACATCTAGGCATATTAGTTAGGCTTTCGTTTATGAATACAGAATTGAAAAACTGATTTAACTGATTAGCAATAACTTGACTGTCAGTTGATATTTTATTGTTTTCAATTGAAATTGCTCTTATATGGTCTTTAGCTTTTAGTTTACTGTTAATATAAGCATAAACTTGTTTTGGATTTTTTTTTGATTCTGTTGCAATTTTATTTTCATATTTTTGTATTGTAATCTTTACAAGTTTTTTAACAAACTTATTTTTTAGTTTATATTCTTCCTTAAGATCTAAATTTTTGAAATGAGAGGCTTTGTATCGATACCAAAGGTATCGATACAAAGCCTCTCATTTCAAAAATTGATTCTGTTGCAATTTTATTTTCATATTTTTGTATTGTAATCTTTACAAGTTTTTTAACAAACTTATTTTTTAGTTTATATTCTTCCTTAAGATCTAAATTTTTGAAATGAGAGGCTTTGTATCGATACCAAAGGTTACGCTTAAGTCGAATTTTGTGTTTTAACTCTTTATTCATCCATAAAGATCTTTTGCTTTCAGTTGTTTTTTGATTAAATGACGGTATAAAATCTTTACAGCCGTATTCAATAGTTCTAATAAAACTTTCATAACACTGATCAACATTAAGTCCAGTAAACTCATGACTCCAGTTAAATTTATTTAAATATTTTGAAAATTCATGATAATTTCCTTTCATGTATACTCGCTTTATAGTAATACTTTCATTTTTGCGATTATGTAATTGATAATTAAAATTAAAATTTAAAACATGATGACCTATTTTTGTTTTCCCCCAAAGGATCCATATGTACCAAGCTGGATATGCGAAAAGGAGAATCTGTAAATACTAAATCTAATATATTTGTTAATTTTGTGTCATTTAATTGAAATGTTGGTTTTTTTACATGTTGTGTGAGATAACATTCTTCAATGCATTCTAGAAACTGTCTCTCTTTTTCTCCAATGCAGACACTTTCATAACTAGAATTCCATATACTATTCAAGGATGGAAAATTGAAGTCACCACATATCAAAACCTCAGTATATATTTTAGTTTTTGAGAAGTAACTGTAACTTTCTTTAATAGAATTGATTACATTTTGAAAGTTTACTAAATCATCACTTCCTGGTCTATAAATACAGCCACATAATATGCATTCATTGCTCATTTTAATGGTACACCATATCTGCTCAATATTTTATTATTATAAGGTTCATTATTGACTTCAAATGAATCAATTAGGTCATTTACATAAATACAGACTCCACCACCTCTGCTATTCATTCGGTCTCTGCGATAAAGGTATAATTATTGCTGAAGTATCATTCCACCATGTTTCTGTTATGAAAATTATATCTGGAGAGCTTATTTCAATTTCAGCTATAAATTCATTTAATTTATTTTTTTCAAATGATGTAGCATTGGTATATACACATTTCAAACTATTTGAGTTGTATCCAGTACTTATAACTGGCTTTTGTGCATTATCATTTATTTTAATTTTAAAATCTTGGATACCGGTTACAGTTCTTTTAAACATTAGAATGTTATTTATTTTGTTTGCCACTTTATACTCAAATTGCTATGTTTTTTTAGTCAGTTTTACTACTTTATTACTTCTTAAACCATAATAAAATGAGCTATTGCTCATGTCTGAATTTCCGTTTAAAGTTTTCACTTCAGATCTTAATTGCTTCGTTAAAATTCTTTCTGCTTCAGTCATGTCAGTATTAAAGTAAATATTTGGTATTTTATCCCTGTTACGAAAAGCTGCTTTTAGCACTTGGTTTCTTGCATGCACGTTATCAAGTTCTAAAAGTAAAACCTTTTATTTAAATTTCCATGAGATAATTTTACATTTTATAAAAACTTTATTATATCCTGTTTGTTGATATTAAAATACTGAGTGTATATAAGTTAACTATACGAAAAGTAAAAACATATAAAAATAATAATAATTTTAACATCTGTTTTCCGTTAATTATGTATTTGTGGTTTTTTCCATTTTAGTTGTAGAGTAAAAAGTAAATAAGATTTAATTGATTTTGGTAAATAAACAACTTAATACTACTGTTAATTTTGGTAAATGTACAATATTTTACTATTACGTTTTAAAAACCATAGCTGCATTTTTATAGTGTATATGCAAAATTGTTCCAGTGAACTACCTAACTATATTATGTTTATTAGTTAAGCCTCTTCCGAAAGAGTGTGTTCCAAACTTAAGTATTTAGAAAAAAACTAATTTTTGATACCTATTATGTTCATAATGCTTACCAGCCGTAGCGCAGTGGTAGCGCGCTTGCCTCAAAAGCTAGAGATCCGTGATTCAACGCCACCTTTGGGCAAGTTTCATAGCATCGGTAAGGAAGGAGGCGTGAACTTATTTTCAAATGCTCATCTGCGGTGGTCTGTGATAAGACCGTATAGACTTCTTGGAACACCTAAAGTAAATTTAAAAAAAATTATCATCAAAACGAATCTAAAAAAGTTGCTAAATTTTGTCGTTTAACAATGAGCAGGGCGCAATGGAAAATTACTTTATGTATATATACTTATTATATGTATATATCAGGCCTAAAGAGAGGGGGGCGGTGCAGTCAGTGCGCCGCACCAGGACCCATAAGAAGTTTGGGGCCCATAAATAATATATATATATATATATATATATATATATATATATATATATATATATATATATATATATATATATATATATATATATATATATATATATATATATATATATATATTTAAATTTTAACATATATTTAAGTTTTTTTATTGTATGTGAT